TCTTTTGTTGCTGTTCTCACGTTTTCTTGTGCTTTGAGAAGGAAAGAGTGGTAACCCTGAGAATCCACACACTGCAGGGAGAGGGTTTTGCTGGTCGTGGCTTTGGCTTTCAACGAGTCCTTGGAAATGGTGGTGTTGGTGGCTGTAGTTTGGAGGCACACCAGAGGAATTGATGGTGGTGGAAGAAGGTAGCAACATAGTGGAGTAGTTGGTAGTGACGGTCACAGTGGGGTAATTTGGAATAGCAACGTTATCTCTTGACGAAATGTTACTATTATTATTACTATTGTTATTATTATTATAATAGTTATTATTATTATTATTATTATTACTACTAGAAGTACCTGCGGCTATCGTTGTTGTTGCTGCTGAGGTGGTGGCCCCTTTTTCTAACATGTTCATGTTGGAGCTGCTTCTACGAGGAAACCTAGGATAATCACTCGTGGAAGAAGAGTTGTTGTTGTGTGGAGGAGTGGCGTGAACATGAACGTTAACATCCATCTCAGAAGCCATTCTTTTTCTGACCATTTTTCTCTCACAATGAGTGGTAGTAGGGTGTGGCATGGCATGTAGGTTGTGTTGTTGTTCATCGTTGCTCATGTTGCTCGAGTTAGAAGCACTGGTCAAAGGAGTAGTACTAGTGGAACTTGCAGCGTTGTTGTTGGTGGTGAACAAAGCACAAGCAGCCATTTGGGGAGATATAGCTAGAAAAGTGAAAAAGGGTTGATGAAAAAATAGAGGCTTAAGCAAGGGGGCATGGCTTAGAACAAGTTCATGTGGTGTGTGTGATGAATTTGAAGAAGGGGGGGCATGGCATGGCCAAAGTTACAAGCAGATAACGTTGTGAGGATTGGGACAGTGGGAATAGGATTCCCATTTAACACGATTCTCTATGCCTTTTGGCTTTTGGATGGGAGGGGTGACACTTAGTGCCTCGTCTTTGTGCGGTTTGATTTTATTTATATGTTGCTAAGTATGTTAGTGTTATTTGATGAGATGAATGAATGTGGCATGTGATATGATATATGCATATGGTGCAGTTAATTTAAAAGAATAGGTGTAAGGTGGCTAGAGAAAGAAAGAAAGAAGAAGGACGAACGGTGGTAGGTAGTGTTGCAGTTGTGAATTGTGATCGGAAATTAAAGCAAGATGAGGGCACCCCCAGATATTTTTTTCCACCATTTCGTCGTCTTCCCAGCACAACTCATTATAACATAGAAATATAATAAATACCCCTTTCTCTTTCTACCCAATATTTCCAAAATTATTTGCTAAATTCTAATTAACACACTTTATATAATAATTAATGCATACTCAACTTTTAGTAAACCAATGTTTTATTAAATTCTATATTTACATTAAACACATTTCTCATGGGCATATTTTTATTTAACATATAATGTAAATATATAGTAATTGTTAATAAAGTAGTAGTAGGAACTAGGAATGATTATATGTTGTATGAAAAGTAGAAAATGAAAATGGAAAAACAATGACAGATGAGATAATTGTAATTATAAAAATGGAAAAGGGGGGGGAGAGGATAGGGAGGAAGTCTAGTGTCGCTAGAAACGAGGAGAGGAGAAGAGCTGTCAAACCTCAGTTCCCAAAAATCTGAATCGTAGTGTTTGACATTTTGCTTTCAACTGCGGCATCACCCACTAGCTTTTTCCTCTTGACTTCATCCCATTTTCCATTTTATTATTCCTTTTTTTCCTTCCCATTTACATATTTTGTCAAACCAACCACTGCAACGGACACATTACCCAAAAGCTGGCACCAAAATCAATGACTTAAAAGGAAGCTCAGAACAGCGCCACTTCCTTTGCTGCTCTAACTTTTTTCATTTTTCTTTTCTCACATTTTCAAATTTAATTTTACTCTTCTTTTTTTTACCTTTTTACATCCCTGGTTTCTACAAAACTGGTATACAATTTTATGTCCAGACTATCAATTATCAATTTTAAAACATTACTTATAAAAAAAAATAAAAAGGTACACATGCATAACTTTTTGCAGGACATGGGAAAATAAATGAGATAAAAAAAAACTGTTTGGGTTTTCTCATTTCTGGCCACAAATTTAATTTTCTTGTTTTGAAACAAATTTTAAACTGTTATCAAGTGTTTACATAAATAAATTAACTGTTTTGTTAGGTATTTATCATGATAAAATTGTTCATCTTAGAAAATTCAAAAACTTCACTTACATTAAAAATGTCATGGAAGGCAGATAGAACGCAAGTTACAAGAGTATGAATCCTAACTTCCTTTTCTTTTTAGTACGTAAGCATCACTTCTATTAACAGATGTTAATTATCTGATAATGGTAAATTTTAAAAAGGTAATTTACGTGACATATATATACAGTTAAACTCTTCTATGTTTTAAAAGAGTAATACTAAAACAATTGATTTCAAACAATTGCCTCTTATAAAAATTATATTTAGAAATAAATATAAAAAATATATATATATAGATGTAAATCTATTTTAAATATTAAAAGTTCACTTTATCAAGTTTAGTTGGCATTAAATTAATCTTGAAAGCTTTAAAAAATAAGAACGTGTTTGAGTTGGAATCTGGACGTGAAAAATCACGGTTCATCAGAAGTAAAAAATATCAACTTCTCCGTAAATGAATATATAAACGTGAAGAGAGGATAAAATTACGTTTGAAAATGAAAATCAAACACGCACTAAACAAACATTAGGCATTGGCATTTCTGTCAAAATAGTGATTTTTAGATGGCGTGATTCCTATCCTAACGGAAAAGAACAAGAATTAAGTTGTTCTGAGACGAGTTCTTAAACATAAAGAATTCAGTTTTGCACATGACTTGTAGTTGTAGGAGTACTATGTATTGATCAAAACATTCTGCACTATCATATCAAAGATTTCCCTGCCATATCAAATATTAAAACTCTCGACCTTTCCCTTTCTTTCATTTTCATCTTAAACTCCATCCAAACTAACACATTAAACAATTATAAACAGCTTTGTTTCACAATATGCACTCAATGTTCCCTTTGGAAAACCTACATTATAAACATTTTATATTACAACCCTTTGGTTTATCTGTCTTAAAATCATAGAACTGTTATAATTTTCATTTTAATCTTTGGAATAATTTTGACTGGTCTCTATCCAACCATCAGACCAAGGTTCAAAAATGATTTTTATTCAAACAACAATTATTTATTCAACTATGTTGTTTCGAACATGTTTCCTTGAAAGAACGAAGAAATTACACATGTGTTGTCGACGAGATGGGAAATTGGGAATAGGACGGTTACATCTTCAATTGGGGTCCATAATCTTTACCCATTTAAAATTTAGTTTGCTTTGTCTATTTAATTAAAATTTATACTTCTAAAAAATATTTATTTATTTTGAAAAAGATAGATTTAGATTTATAAAAAAAATGGTTAGACTTAATAAATTAATCTATTTATCTATAAGATATAAGAATATTACATTATGAACAATATAATTAATTAATTAATTAAATTTATAATACAAAAATCAAATTATTAATATTTTTAACATTTTCATTACACTTTAACATTTTATGTTATTGTCCATACAAAATCAAGAAATATAAAATAGAAAATATAGCAGTCTCATCTTTGCATGTTGTTTTCTATATTTTCTTGATTGATTATTTAGAAGCATATTTTATATGATATAAGCATATTACATTATTAACTATATAATTAATTAAATAAATAAATTTATAATAATAAAAAATAAATTATCAATATTTTTAACATTTTTACTACACTTAAATGTTTTACATTCTTTATTCATACAAAATTAAGGAATAGAAAATAGAAAATTTGACAACCGCATCTTTGTATGTTCTTTTCTTTCATCTACATGCTTGATTATTTAGAATAATTTAAATGAGATAAAGGAAATATTTATAATTTTCAATGAGATTATCTCTTTCATCACATTTGTACGTGAATGTACATGAATGGGTATAAGTAGTCTATCTTACATCAATTTTTTATTTTAAATTCTAAAAAATAATAATCATAATAATAATAATAGAGTAAGCTATTTTTTTTATAATGCAAATTATAAAAAGACTCGCACATATATAAAAATAGATTTGTTGACTTATTTAAAATTAAGTTCATTGACATATTTAATATTGTTAATATAAAATAAACTTTTAAATGAGTTAATAGATTTGACCAACCTTTTAAAAATATCATACCAAACCTAAAAAAAAACTTATAATATATAATAAGTCAAACTTAAAATTTTTATTTTATAGTATACATTATTTATATATTTAATTTTGAGTAGACAAGCTCTTACGTCTAAAAATTTTTTACATGTGATTTTCGAGCGAATGAGTTATTGATCTTACACATTTCTTGTACGTGATTTATGAACGAATGAGCTCTCGTGTCTTCAAAATTTTACACACAATTTCTGAGTGAAGGAGCTATCGCGTCTTCAAATTTTTTAAACACGATGTCTAAACGAACAAGCTCTCGCATCTTACACATTTCTCATATGCAATTTCTAAGCAAATGATCTCCTATGTCTTCAAATTTTTTACATGCAATATTTGAGTGAATTAGCTCTCACATCTTACACATTTCTCATACGTGATTTCTAAATGAATGAGCTCTCGTGTCTTCAAATTGTTTACATTTGATACTTGAGCAAACGAGCTCTCACGTGTTATACATTTCTCATTCGTAATTTATGAATAGACGAGCTCTTGCACCTTTAGATGTTTTACACGTTATATTCGAGCAAACGAGCTCTCATATCTTACACATTCTCTCACATGATGACTGAATGAACTCTCATGTCTGAAAGATCTCTAACACAATGTTCGCACAACAAACTTCCATGCCTCACAACCTCTCATGAGTAAATGATCCCTCACACAACTACTCATGATAAAATAACCCACGTATATCAAAATAAATCTAGACATCAAAGAGTTTATTAGTAACAAAAAAAAAACAAGACTCCACCACCACCCTAAACTATCAAGAGCCTTACCATCACTGCCCACACCAGAAGGCGAGGCCTCATCACCAAATTTTTCGTCACAACCCACCAGCATGTCCTCATCCGACGAATCCTTTGTGTTGTCCTCGTTGAAAAAAACATCCTTCAACAGCTCTCCATCAACCACATTGAATTCAAAATTTGATTTATCACATGGAAAATTGGGCTTATAATGGGCAATTTGTCACACAACTCTTTAAAAACCACGCACATGTTCTTTACTAGCATCGACCTCTAGCACAAACATGCAAGCCATAAACTTCCTAACATGGGACATCATCATCGCTCACTTAAATGATAAGTTCTTGACTTCTAAGGCGTACTTATCAAAATCGTGCAAAGCCTCCTTCTTCTTAAAAAAATGAAGGAGAACGGGTCGTTCTGGGTGAGAGAACGGGCCGTTCCGGAGGGAGAACGGGCCGTTCCGGATGAATCCCGGAACGGGCCGTTCTGATATCAGAACGGGCCGTTCTGGGCGTGGATTTTGTGCGTGAATTGGGAGTTCGGAACGGGCCGTTCCGAACTCGGTACGGGCCATTCTGGGGCAGTCCGAAAATCTATAAATAGGGGTTAGGGGCCTTCAGGAAAATGTGAGTTTTTAGAGAGAAGTTTTAGAGAGAAGGTCTCTGGGTCAGTGAGCTCCTTTCTCTCCCAAATTTCTCTGTTTGACTCCTTTTCTCCTCTAGACCACTAATG